ACTCAAGTCAAATAAAGTAAAAATCAATAGACAATACTAGTAATTAAGTGATTTAAACCGCATGAAATTAATTTTTCAGGAAAAATTTTACGTCAGGACGGGTAAATAAAAAGGAAACAAGTAGGTGTCCTGAATAAATAAACAAAATACATTGACTTCGACCATCTTGAGGATAAACTTTCAAGAAAGTCCCTGCGTCATGGAATCGTAAATAAATAAAAATAAATAATCAGTAAAAATAAAAGTAACTCAATCCTACCCAACCCACAAGTGAAGCAACTACCAAAGCTATTTTTCCAATAAATAGTAGTTGTTTACATAAAAGGAGAATTCACAATAATAACTAGATGCCCAGTTTCAGTTGATCTATATGATTTCTTCCTTTTACTAAGTCTGTACACCAGTAAAACATTACAGTTTAGTCAATTTATTAACCTTGAACCGGTTAAGCGCTTATCGTTGTGATACTTGACTTCAACATAGTTCTTGTCACATGTATCCTCGCAATAGAATTCAAAATGGTCCATAAACTCCAAGAAAACTCGCCCACCTGAAAACTAGAGAATAATAGTTTTTTATGCTTTACTAATTGATAATGATTAGTTGAAATGCAAATAGAAGGTGATTTCTCGTAACCGACCTGGTGCCGCTCGAAGAATCCAGAAGCATTCTGTTCCTTGAGGATGAGGATGTGGGTAATTCGGACTAGTAATGTACTGTGCCATGGTAGTGACCTAAACAAGTTAGTGGTCGAAATCTAATTTTAACAAGCTCCTTCCCAACTTTTTTCCGTAACAAATCTAGCACAGGTATGCTTAAAGGTACTGTAATATTTCGAACTGCTGACGTCTCCAATTTAATTGCTCAATGATTATTTTCGGAAAAATTTAGGATGCTAGAGTCCTCTCACCAGTTGTGGTAAAAAAGCACTTCGAAATTGCTGTAGGGCTACAACTTCCGGTCGAAAGAAATGAACCAAGATGATTCCAAGATTTTTTTCGCAATTGTAAAAAATTGCTTTCGTCATGACTTCCCTCTCTATTAATGACACAACATAGCATTCCAATAAATGCATTCGTCCATGTCAGGCATGGCAGCCATTCGTATAATTCAAGATTTGGTATCAGCTTGGTCAATAGGCGTGTTTATTATGGTGGGCGGGATCGGTGAGCCAAATCATGTGAGCACCTGCTCGTGGGTTAGCCCCCTCAAAATGCCATTCTGTCACTAATCAGAGCGAACTTTTTGGGATTTAGTAGCAATCTAAGTGATGTACTGTGCGAATCCAACTAATCCCGTTAAACGTAAACCCAACTTCCTTTAAGTAATACCTGAGTAAGTTATTGAACCCATGAGGGTTTTTATCGAGTAACTAAACTTGTTTCTGTTAGCTCTGTTTCTGTTAGCTATGAAAAAAATACCCTTATGCATCAAATGTAAATTTAAACGCAATTACAACTCAACATATACTGTTTCCCGCTCCTTAAAAGCGGCAAACACGTCCCACTCCACATGTCGCGCGGAAGATTCGCGCAAAAGGGGCAATACATCCGAGTTGATATGTAAGTACTGTAGCTAAACGGTACTCCAATCCGGAACCTTTCATGGTTTTAGCTCATTCCAACAAAAAGTTTGCTGCGTTCAGGTTCGATCATAGTTCATAACACAAAAGTCCCTCACGAAAAGAAAAGCGGAATGTTCCGCTTCGTGATTTAATTAACAAATTCGGATACTTCAGATAACATCTGGATCGTTACTGTCGTCATCCTTCTCGTGAACTGGTTCTACCAGCCGATCTTTCTATGAAAAATGACTAAAAAAATTTGGTCAGGTTTTCCGTGCTAAACACTTCTTCGAACCCTGGTTCCAGTGTAATCCAAAATTGCTCGATGAACTTGTATACAAGGCGAAATGTCATTCTACTCAGTTACATTAGGTAAAGTTATACAAAGACGATAATGTCAATCATCTCTATGTATGTTCCGGTAACGTTAATTGTAAAAACGCTTCTTCAGTGTAAAACTAACTTATCTAAAAACTCCCTGATCAACGATTAATTGCCCAGAGCCGATGTTTTCTGCTCCTTTTCGATTTTTTTCGAAAACGCAGATTTTGGATAGAAGTTCGGTTTTCTCCAGATCTGCATGTTGGAAATTTATCAACTGATTTTCCTCCATTTTATCTGACTTACGTTCATTCACGCATTTATTACCAAAAGGATCAATTTGGTCTGCAATTAAGGCGGTCATATGGTGCGATTCCAAACATCGCATTTTTCTGCTTTTGTCTGGACTCTCTCACCAAGACAGCATGGGCACCCTCCGCAGTCGGGTTTTTTGTACATCTATACTTTATAAGTGACCCATCCACCTCGGGGAAACAATCCCGTCTACTCTGTCCCTACGTGAATATCCCCAGACTCCGTATGTCAAGTTTTCCCGAGATCGCCACAAATTTAAATCGTCTTCGGTACTTTCTATGCATTGAAACGCTCGTAACAGACAACATCAGAGAACAAAAAGTGTGAAACCGGAAAAATCAGCGCACAAGCCTGAACCCTTTGTATCCGTTTGTGATCTAGCTATTCCTAGCTTTTGGAGGTCTAACATTCCCAGAATCTACTCAGGAGGAGACTGGAATCACATGCATGAGCTATTACAAGCTCCGGTGACGTACCGGCAACATGTTCCTGGTTTTCACCTACACGCTTCATCTTTCTGAACTTCCCCGCCTGGCTGTTCGGGAACAACTCACGGTAGTGTAAAAAGGACCTTTCCAAGTAGTAAAACTGTTACTTCACCCATTTCTTAATACATGCCAATTAATTCCGGGATACCGGTTTTCCAAATGTTTTCTTATTTGACTTCTGAACTCACATCAGGTAACGGAAATCAAATGGCAACACGCACGTAGTTCCCGCTGTAACAGGACATAATTTCAGATCTTTATGAAAAATGTTCTTTGTCAGAAGAATGCCCACTCCTCCCTCCGTTCCCACTCCCTCCTCCTACTGGAATCTCGTAAGAAAGATCCAACGGAAAGCCGGAAACGATGCTTTGAAAAACCCAGATCACACAATCAGATCACTCAATCGAATTGAGCTTAAGTTAGACCCTATGAAAACGACTGAGTTTTTAATCTCTATGGGGTTCGAGCGCAGTTGTTTCGAGAGCAGCGGCTTGGTTGACTTTGACGTGAAATAAAGCCTCAGGTAAGGAAAAAGAATCTTTTTCAAGGACAGCCCTCCGGTTTGAAACTGCTTACTGTATATGCAAACTGGTAGCATAGGTGGAAGTCTAGTAGTCAAAAAACTTCTTCTGGACAAGATAAAAGCTCAGCCAAGAGCTAAAAATGTGTGTCGCAGGGAAATTTGCGAATCCACGTCATATGGTTGCTTCCTAGGTGGGATATGGGCCCCATCTGTGAGCTGAGCCCTATAGATCCGACTAACTTTTTGTCGCCCCCTTTGTTCCAACTAACAGTCTCTTATATACAATAGGAACATTATACTTACAAAAAATGAAAGGTGTCTTCTAGTGTGACGTTGAATGTTGTTGCCGAACAAAGTAAGTATATCATCAAGTAATCCAAATCAATGTACCTTGATTGTGCCCCCACAAGGGCCAACCGATGGGCGAACAGACTCACAGTACTGCCCACTCAATCCATCTGGGCATGCACAAGTGGAGCAGTTATTCGGATGTGGATATCCATTGTGGAAACAATTTATAGGCTGGCAATGATCGATACAACCATAGGCAGCGTTGATCTGATACGATGTAATAACAGGTAAAATCGAAATTTTTCCTTATGAAAAACATGTAATTACTTACAGCCTGATAATCCAGAAATGATGGTCCAATGCGTTGGCCGATTGTGGACTGCTGGCCACGTTCGAGAGTTCGAATAGTCGGGGTGTACGGGTCTGATGCGAATCCATACGGTCCATAGTGCATCACGGATCCTGGAAATCATTAACGGATAAAGTATTATTTCTTGAGCATTGAAGAATTCCACTCGGGAATGCACCCGGAAATGACTTCCATTCGGAATCGTAGTGGCGTATTGAATGCGTATGTAGCCTATACAATGACTTCGGTGTCCAGCCGATGTACAAGACAGTGCTTTCAACCTCCCAGACGAGTCTGGTACTAATTAGCGGATCCTAGAGGGATGGACGACTTTGGCCCGAGTCAACATTGATCCGGGATTCGAGCCCATGTCCATGCCTGTGTGACAGGGCGCCACTTGCCACCACACTATCTCCGTCCCAATGAATTTGCAACCCTCATAAATAAGATGTCAATCAAACGAGTTGTAGGGATGGGCGAGAACGATGTTCAGGGTATTTTGAATTCAATTAAGCGCCTAATCATTACAGAGAAATCATTTACTATTATCGAAGCCAGAAGGAATGGCTCGGTTGGGTGAAGCGGGAATCTGTTTCATCTCCGTATGGTAAGGTCCCTCTGGGATCTCCGCCACCTTGTCTGACTTATAATGAACTTGAAACCCTTCTAATCCAGGTATCAATTCAAGGAGTCTGCGAGGATGCTGGAGAGGGCGATCAGAACGGAGTGAGTTGCACTCATCCAACGGAGTTGGTGCCTCCAGCTACTTCAGGGGAGCCCAGCTGATTTGTAAGTGAGGAAAATCAAGTTAGAAGAGTATGTACCTGTATCATAGGGGAGACCGAAAGTCTCTGCTTGATTCGGTCCTATGGATTGAAAGTTATTCCATCGACTAATAGGTATGTTGTTGTAGTTGATGGCTATATGCCTGTCCTTGATTGGTAAAAATACAATGAACATATCCAAAGTTGAATTAGAATACATGNTTGGGACTGACATGCCTCTTAGAATGAAATGGTCCCTGTCTTCATACCTGATCTGGACGAGCTTGTTCGTGGAATATTCCCAGAGCGTGCCCAATTTCATGGCTGATGATTCCGACCACGTCACAACCAGGTGTAGCGATAGAAATACCCTGAAATGCTGAGTACTCTCCTGAGTTGGGAAACGGAAGCTATCAAATTGGTACCTACTGGTAGTTACCCAGTAAAAATGCTGGTAAATCAGGCAATATGGCTGAGAAGTAGGAAGAACTATCTTGAACAACTGTCATTAAGAAAAATACTTATATTTTCAATTCACCCGAATTATTTTGTGGTTATTTATTTGTTTATTTACATATTTTGATGCACGCAGCGGTGCGCTCAACAAATTTCTTACATTACCTACGTTTAAACTTTTACGTTTATTTCATTCCCTTTTGTCGTTCTCGATTATTTCGAATTTTCATCCTCAACTGTTTGTGTTAAATACGGCTATTTCATGAACAAAATAAATTAACTACAAATTTAAATTTTGAAAATTGAAGAAAACAATATTCAGTCACTTATTACTAGTTATTTCATTATTTATTTATTCACTTCAGTAATTAGGATTCAAATTTTAATTTTTTTAAAATCTATTAGGATTCGAATTTTAATTTTTTTAAATCTATTTTTTCTTGAAGTTTATCAATTTCATTTAGTTACAGCTATTTCAATTCGACGTTGCAGAGCTTCACGTAAAACCTCAGAAAAGCATACGCTGCTCAAGGGTCTCCAAAAAGAGTCCTGAGCCGAAAAATTTAGTTGTTTGAGAATCCAACTACCTTGGACAACTGTCCAAAAAGCAATGCTTCTCATCCCATTTTTTTTAACATCTATGAGTAATTAACTTATTGGTTTCGATGCAGTTATTCTGAATGTGTCATTTGCAGAGCTCCACGAAAAATCACAGAAAACCATCCGCTGTTCAAGAGTCTCCAAGTTAAGCCTAACCTAAAACGCGAATTTTTTTTATTTCAGATTGTGATTATTCTGCAGCCAAGATTAGTTGCCCGTCTGAGTTAACCCTTAGACTATTCGAACTAATACTCATAAACCAAATTGACCCTACAACAAACTAGTATCTAACTAGCTACCTCTAGCTGAAACAAGACTTCGCCTGAAGCACTTCAATTGCCTCGTGTAGGAGAACAACCTTGACTGTCATTAATATCCAAAACCAATAAAACTTGTCAACCTTTATGACTAAACCCCATCTGACAAGATTTACGAGTAGTAGTATTTATACTTCGTTAGTATAGGCTCCGGTTTCATTTACGGTACAGGAGTGAGCACAGATAGATCGTTAATCAAATTAATGATTATGAAACACAAAAAATTATGTGCCATAGGTTATAGCCTTGTAAAAACAATAGAAGGAAACTCTGAAGAGTACCTTCTAGGATATAGTACGCCTTAAGATTTTTCACCACCATATCATGAAAGAAGGGAAAATGGTTGGCGGCAAGTGGCGCTCTCCCACACATCCATGGTCCGGGAACCAACTCCAGAACGAAGTCTGCCTGGCTCACCAAGCCTCCCACTCCCAGAAGCACATAGTTGGTACCAGACTCGTCTGGGAGGATAAAAACGCTGGCTTGCACATCGACTGGCACCGCCAGCTTTTGTGTAAGGCACATGAGCATTCAAAACGTCACTACGATTCTGAATGGAAATCCAAAGCTGCGGCGCATCCCAGAAACGAAATTGATCAACCTCGTGAAGCTTTCTCAGGTTCTCTGAAAGGCCACCTGAAGTTCATATTCCCTATTTTTTTTTTCTAAGTTCTATTGAATCCATGTCTTCTTGACCATTTCTGTACTAATTTTGATGAATTAAACTAGTTCCTACAACATCGGGGTTGCTGTGAATCAATTTTACAATTTCGCTTGCAAAAACTAGTTACATATCAGTAAAGGTCTGTGGTTGGCGTTATTTTAGCTGTTATTCTCGGCTGGCATACTGATATTTGTAAGAAAAACAACCAAATTATGTATCAAGTTTGCAGTTGTTGAGACAAACGCACTTCCTTTGGAGTTCTCTGTGGTGGGAAATTGCCAACAGAAAAAAAGTTGAAAAGGTAAAAGATCAATTCGTAAGGCGTTAATCAGTCCCGTCGTCTGGGGGATGTGACCCGCATTCGACTTTTATACAGAATCGTAGTGGGAATGAATGTGTAGGTAGCCTTTACAATAACTTACGGTGACCAGCCGATGTACAAGAGTCAGTGGAATCTCCTCCCAGAAGAATCTGGTACTAATTACTTGACCCGAAGGGGTAGAACGCTTGGTTGGCCTAGTCGGATATCGATCCGGGATTCGAACCCGNATTTTATCCAACCGACCACATCCCAAACCCTTTTATCTATGGCTTCGTACACATAGGGACGATTTTCGTGCCAATTCGTGCCCTTTGCCCCCTATGATTCATGTGATTACGGTATGGTGACGGCAGCTCTACGCTAATGACGGATGAAGCGTCATCAACTTAATGAGCGAAGAATAAAAAATCGTCATTGAAGAAGTAAAAAAATAAAAAACTTTGTGGATAAGTTAGCAAAAAAACAGCAGTTTCCAAAACCAATTAAAAACAAAACAAAACAAAATTCAATCATAATCCCCCACCCCTCCCCTCTCTCCCACAACCTGAATAATTGAATGAAGCGGCATTCAATTCCCAGAGAGGACATTTTAAAAATCCACCAGATAATGCCGGGAGAGAAAATGGAATTTGAATTCCAAAATTATTTCTGATTAAACTGATCTCTAGCTTTACTCCTGCCCAGTTCAGAAGAGAATTTGATGATTCGATACGAGATCAAAAATTTATTTTGAAATTCAAATGAAATCAAAAAAAAAAATTTCGAAAAATGAGATCCAGAGAAAGGTCTCCGATAATCGATTGAATCGATTCCTGTCACTAATCATGTAACTCTTTATCTCCTCTGAATTATTCACATCGAGCCTCTGACTGGTCGGAACACGATTTCTTTACTTGATATGTATTATAGTTAAGCAGTAAAGCAATCAACTAGTATCGTCTCAGTAATCACTTTCTAAAACTACTGAAACCGCTGGGATTGCTATCAATCACTGGTAAAGACTTGAGTTACCTGAGTTCCTCCTACACGTCCAACGAATGAGGAACATCCGCCTCCATCGAAGAATTCCAAACGATCTACACTTGGGCCACCTTCATCGAATCGAACACATGTATGATATTGCCAAAGGTTCATAGCCTCTCTGTAGTAGTATTACTACATAGTAAACAAGTCGAATTCCATATCTGAGTAAAGCGTTAAGCCGATCGCGTACCGGATCTTTTCACGAGTTCTACGTGGAACCGTTTCAGTGAAGTCAAAACTTATTGCATTCTTACGATCCCAAAGCGTGTAAAGCGGTGTACGGCCGATCTTAAGTTGTAATCAGGATATTGTAAGACTGACTAATAAAAAGTTTTGGTAACGGGAAAAAGTCGAACTGAACCTTGCGCTTTTCCCTATGCCCTTCTGTGAATGACTTTTCAATTTGTTGAACCTGTTGTTCTGAGAGATCGACATCCCCTTGAAAGTAATCCTCTGGATTATTCACAGACAACTCGTCCTAAAAAATCAATATTCGTTCGTAGCTTAGCTAATGCACTGAAAGTGCTTCTTTCCAAATCTTTTAAATCGATTCTTTTAGCGAGTTTTTCCATAGGTTTCAGATCGATTCACCTTATTTGTTTTTGCATTAGGATTTCTTTTGATATCTCCAAAAAGATCCACAGCATCGCTTTGTCGAGCGTTGACCAATCTGAATTCAAATGGATCGTTTTCATGTGAAAAGGACGTAATTCGTAAGAAACATTTCGTCCGAGTAAGTGGGTCATGCTTTGCCGGCTAAGAAACCTGCCCGAAGCCGTACATAATTGATTGGATCTATGTGGAACAAGAAACTCACCCCCACATTCATTTCATTGAAAGTTTCCAAGCTCAGTTTTTTGAAGAAAACATGGCCAAGAGTTACAGTAATAGATACAGTAGTATTTAGTAGTATACAGTAGTATTTTCTTAGATGCCTGAACTTCTAACTCTACATTTCTGGCCCCTATGCGGAGCACTTCAAACGCTAGAGCTACTGGACCATCAGACCAGACCAACGACCCCTCCCAGATTACTGAAAGGATCGGGGACAGCCAATGCTGGTGTATTCAGTTGTATGAAGCAGACTTTCCTCTGGGATACGTCCCCAGAGTCTTCAGTGGAACATGATCATTGGAACAGGCCGAAGAAAGATCTCCTCACCTAGCAGCATCCTCATTGAGTACCTCCTTGAGATGTGCTAGAGATTTTCGATTAGCACGTTGGGCTCGTAATGCAACGTTGAATGGAAGATAAAGCAGAGCGAACGAAAAGAGTAGGGATAAATAGGGAAGATTGGCGATATGCATTGATAATGGGGCCTGTACGTTGGCTACAAACCAGCCCCCACCAAGCGGCTGTATGAATCAGCAGCAGCANCTGTATAAACCCTTAGTACACCCCCACTTTAACTCGTTCTACGTTTCGCTTTTACGACTGATCGTCGATGTGACGCACCACGCTATGGCTGTTTTCTTCTCGTCGTCGCAACTAAGGATTTCACCGGATTCCCCTAATGGGAATGATTGGAACGATTGGGAGAGAACTAGCGTGAGCGGCGGCGATTTGGGAAAACTATGCGTGAAGACGCATGAAATGAGACTTTTTTCGGCCCCGGAAGCTGTCATTTCACGGCTATCACCTAATCAGTCAATTCGGTCCATTCCGGGAACTCCCTAAATTCATTATGTGACACATATAAAAAAATTTTGACGTCGATTTGACTTACTAGTAACAATATTGAATGTACGCCATGATTTCCATCGAAACTGTACCTAACCTTACCCTGTTTGTCCCCACGTTCCCTCCTTCTTGTTCACCCGTTCCCCAATTATTTCTTGGACCCGTAAGAGAGAAACTAGCTCCAAACCGAGACTATTTTCGATTAAAGGCCGATTATACCGATAAAGTCAGACAGTTTGCGCCTACCGGACAACATCAAAACCATTGCGTCGATCTTATCTGAGAAAATGACTGTACCACCTCCCGCTAAAGGCAAAAGATTTGCGATTAGCACAGCAAGCGAAATAGTTTTTTAGGCCAATGTCGGGTAATGCCGCCCGATACGGAAAGGTCTGCTGTGTGATCGAAGAAATTGAAAGTTCCTCTTGATAAATATACGTTACCTGTCAATCGATAGAATTATCATCATTTAATGATGCATAGAAAACTCCGCAACATACAAGTACAAGGTTTTTTCAAAAGCTGATTCCCATCCATTACCGTACTACGTGCAAAATATGATGTACAGTAGTCCTCCTAGTAGTACCTACCAGTTGATACTAATAAGTACTAATAAGTCGCAAAGGAAGTAATCACGTTGTTTAATGAGAACGATAAAGGACGCTAAGTGGAAGGACCTAATTTCCATTTCAGGATTTCTCCTCTGTTCCACCAAAGTAATCAATTAAGATCAAAAATGATAATGAGTTGTATTTAATTCGTTCTATTCCTAGCTAAAACCTGAACCGAAAGTCGGGTCTCAGAAATATTGGCCAGCGTTGAAGAAAGAGAAACTTCATCAAAAATCCTGGCCTAAAACTTCAGATTACTGTGTGCCTCTCGTTTCCCTCCAAATTAAGTAGGGCTTACAAGTAAGGCTCGATAGATGTCCATTTTTTTGAAAGCTGGCTATTTATAGGCGTANTTCTTTTCGACTTTACATGTCAGTACAAAGCAGCCCGGTAGTTTTCGAGTCAGACTTCCTGATTTCACGTATCATGTAATACACATGATTATCACATGATATCTATGCAGTACACAAACGTATCATCGTATGAGATTTATTGAATAAAAGAAAAAACAAACTGGAGTTCCTCTTCATTCAAATCAATCCCTAGCCGAGGAACTCTCAATACAGTTAGCCACCGTAACGGACTATGCAAAATTATTATTTCAAGTATAAAGAAAAAATGGAATACGACACAGATAAGTAATAACTTTGTAAGGAACTCAATCACAAACTATCAAATCATCAATTATCAAGGGACAATATGGCGAAAATGCATGTATGAAATACGTATGTATGAAACTAAATCATTTTCAATAATCATCATATTCATAATCATTATCATCATCATCACATTATCATCATCATCATATCATCAGAAAACTCATAAAGAAAGCTCTCAATAATCTGTTTTTTGTTTGACGTATTGTAAATAAGCACGATTCCATGCCACTCAAGTGGACCGTCTTCAGCTCATGCAGTTTTACTTTATACGGCTCTGTTTTAATGCTGTTTATAAAGAAAAATAATTTTGTATCTATGACTTCTCAGAAAGTTTTGCCTGTAGGATCGAAGCGCGGAGTGCCATGCTTCCTCCTGTACGACCTACTCAGGTTGCTAGCCGAGCGGGAGCAGCAGCAGCTGTAGCAGCTTCTTGTCCTGCCCCGGTCATCCTGACTGCATGGAATCGTGCCCATGATATAATATAGAACTCCATATGCGATTGTACTCTTCGCATTTCGACAAAAAGAGAGAGAGAGATAGGAAACTCCTGTGGAGAATCGTTTTGAGTTGAAATACCTAACTAAAACTATGAGGGCACCCGTGCCGGGCGATGGATCTGAGCAAGGAAATGGGAAGACGGTCTGGCTGCACACCACACAAAACCAATCAAGACACACACAGATACACACACGAATATATCACACATCATCACAACACATCATCACATAACATTTTCTCAAATTTTTCTGCTCAATGGAGTGGAGGAGGGGGGGGGGGACACAGGGGGACAAAGACATACAGTAGTCTATACACAAGCCACTTTTCGTGTGCGTTTCACTTACATCTCACATTACTCTTCTAACATTTGTACGTCTCCTTAATCAATTCATTGATTATGGCTACCGTTTTCGCGGAGCTCTTGCCTTGTACAAATGTGTCGTGATCGCCTTCCACTACGTACACCTTTGAGTCATCTGCTACTTGACTGATACCGTAATCGGTACCCACGTCTTCTTCACGAGCCGCTCCCTGTTCAGCACGCACCAGTGTGATAAGTCCAGTAAATTTACGTTCAGGTTTATATCTGAAAAAACAACCCAATGACGAGGATCCATTTAATTTACACTTAAAAGCTTTACAACAAGAAAAAAAAACCGCTCCATTTGAAGTATGACTCACTTGTCTGCCATTAAGAACTTCGATCGCATCGCTTCACAGGCGAACGCGATAGTTTCGGGAGATTTGAACAGGCCTGTGGTCATTACAGTGTCGACAACCTAAAGTTAAAGTAATTTGTCAGCGAAGAGTTGAAAAAATGTTCGGTTCCAGGTCCATGACTACAAAATCGAAAAGGACACAAAGTCATCCCAAAAACCGGAAAACGAAAAAAAGGGGTTTAACTGAAATTCAACCAAAATCTCAACCCACCTTCTGTATCCGGGCTTTGAATCCTGGTTGTTGAAGTAGTTCAACACGGAACTTCTTGTAATCAACGTTAGCAAATCGTAACGTCATAGCACACATAATTTCCGATTCAAACAGGGGATTATTCACGAGAGTATCTCCAGTAACACCAAATGCCATTCGATAGACATTCCTGTATGTCTGCATATACAAATGAGATCCATCAAGTAGGATCAACCGTTCGACCGCCGAGGGACCATCTGATTCTTGTAACATTGTGGCCATTTCAAAACCAATACATGCTCCATATGAATAACCGACAATCCTGTAGGGACCGGCTGGTTGGATTTTCTTCATTTCCTGAAATCAAGCAAAGATACAGACTTTGTCAGTACCATGGACGAGTGGCGAGATCGGAATTCATCTGCACGAGGCAGCGAGATCGATTCCAATCGGCACGATTGCGCTCATAATACATTTTTGATGTGACAACCTACTCTAATGATATTACTAGGTAACTTACCCTGATATAGCACTTTGCAACACTTTCAATGGAATCTTGTGGAACTTCTTTAGTTGATTGGAAGCAGTAGACAGGGAATGTACACTTGGTCATGACACGTTTCAACGGGGTAGCAATACCTTCGATGGAATGCACGAAGAACGTCACTGGACCTTCTTCGATCTGGAAATTTTACTGTTTCAGAGGGATTACAATGAACAATGAACTAGTAAGGCGTGAATCTGAAACTAGCCTTATTGCACTTCACGACAATGTCCTGAGGATCGAGATCGTTCACATCGACACGCATTTTGAACAGCTGATTCATCTGCTTCTCCAACATCTCCACCGTATTCTGTTCAGCATCTCGTTCGCTCTCCTTCTTCATATCCAGTTCGGTTGGTTGCAATGTCGTTGCACCTTGGCCACCACTTTCTGCCAGTTGCTGCAGCTTGTTCAGCGTCAGCGTTCGGATGTCCTTCATCGATAGGACGATGTCGTAATCTCTTTCGAGCGCTTGCTTGATTTCCACTCCCATCAACGAGTCAAGTCCAAGATCTCCAAGATTCGCATCAGGATTCAATTGGGACACGTCATTCACTCCAAGAATATGGGCAATGGTCTGGAACACAACTTATGATCGTACTGTAACTAACCTGAATACAGTAAGTATGCTCAAGAAGCCCCATACACACACCTGTCCCAGATTAAGGCCCTCAAACTTAACCTATTGACCGATACAAGTACAACAAACTCCAAAAAGTCCTACCTGAAGCAAATTGCCACCACCAGCTGCCTTCTTCTGTCCCATGTCGGCCTTAATATATGATGATACGATAGGGTGATTCCATGAGAGGAACAGATCCAATGACGCCAAGCATGAGGGCATTCTGAAAGTTCGGATAGACTTCAGAATCAGCTTCAGCGAATGGGTAAACTCAAGTCACCTTTGTGGTAGGGTTCCACCGACGACGGTATTATTGTCACCCATATTCTCGAGAATAACTCCTACATCACCAATTGCTCCCCACTGGATTGCAATACCCGGATAGCCATCTTCTCGACGTTGTTCGATCATACGTTCCATGGTCGAATTGGACCAACCATAATTGGTTTGTCCAGCATTACCACGTCCCGATGTGATGGACGAGAACACGACGAACCATCGGAGGGCATCACCACCCGCTGCCCGGGTGGCCTGATCCAGGTTGATCGTACCGTAATACTTGGCTTCAGCTGCATCCTTGAAGTTTTGCACATTTTGATTTTCGAATAGACAATCACGTAGGACCATAGCAAGATGGAATACTCCACCCAAACGACCCATTGAAAGACATTGACGGATCAGTTCATCAGCATCGGATCGCTAGAAAAAATCAATCAATCAATAATTTACTAACTTACTAACACAAGTGGGACAGTGAACAAACCTTCGCGATGTTGAGCGTGGAAATCAGCACTGAGATGCCCGTTCTTCTCCAGAAATGTACACAACGAGCCTGATAACCGGTACGGATTCCCGACCGCGAAGTGAGCACGAGCTTCCTGGCTCCACGATTGATAAGCCATTGGGCAAGTTCAAGACCGAATCCTCCCAGACCACCAGTAATCAGATATACATGTTGGGGATGGCACAGGGTACGGCAAATGGCACGGACAGTAATGTCAGATGGTGGACACTTCCGTTGTGGTTCTTCCTTACGAATTTCCATCACAACTTTACCGATATGTTTACCGGCAGACATGAACCTGTAAACAAATGGTATGACGTCATCAAAAACAAAAACAAAAAAGAAGAAAATGAAAGGAGAAAGACAAACCTGAAAGCTTCCTCAGCCTTGTCAGCTGGGAACAACGAGGCTGGCAACGGTTGTACTACACCACTCTTGATACCCTGTTCAAGTAATGCGGCAACTTCCTTCCATTCCTCCTTTAACAGTAAATCAATAATATCGATTTTTCGAAGCAGTAAACAAATGAGATGGAGAAAAACGTACAAAATCGCCAACTGTTGGGTCCATGATGGAATCCAGAAGAATACCATGAATCGTCACGTTGTCAAGCAGTTTCGACATTCCCAGGGACGAGTTCTGGGCCAAGTCGACTTTACCGATCTCAAGGAATCGTCCATGGCGTGCCAAACAACGAAGGGACGCTTGAAGCATTTCATGGGCCAACGAATTCAACACGATATTCACACCTCGACCCTAAAAGTAAGTAATTGTAACCGGTTACGATTGTTTAAAACTTCTACAAATGGGAAGTTCAGATCAATCCGCCTCATATACTTTTACATACCTTCGTGTACTGCCGAATGTGCAGTTCGAAATCAGCAGAACGGGAATTAGCAAAGTGAACATCCTTCAGCTGAGGGAATTTCTTCTTGAGATATTCCCGTTTCTCTTGGGATCCAACGGTGGTGAACACTTCACAACCGTATGACAGCGCAATAGCAATGGCTGCTTGACCAACACCACCTGCTCCTCCATGAATCAGCACCTTTTCACCCTGTAAATGGATCATTTTTATTTATTGTTGATGAAATTCATGAACCACAACAAAGCCTTTTCAATGGGAGTCACGCCCACCTTCTTTATGCGTCCACGGCAGACCAGGGCATAGTACGCCGTTGTGTAAACAACGGGTACGGTAGATGCCTCTGCTAGTGACCAGTTCTCTGGTACTTCCCAAGCATAATCACGGTCCACTACAACCGATGTGGCTAGGGCCTAAAAGTGACATTT